TAATATATATGGAAACGAAATAGAAGGACGGATGAGAATGCCTTCAATTTGGAGTCGCGTAAAGCGACGATTCCTGTGGCACGCCATCGAGCAATGCGTTCGGCCACAGTAACCACGCTCTTGCTGCTGCAACAACCCATAACCCCCTCAACCCGCCTCTCACTCTCTTCTCGATTAGGGAAAAAAAGGATTATACAGAAGCTATGCGCGCGCGCAATGAATTACGGAGTACAAGACTTCCTTCGAGGATGGGAATAGGAACGCCTGGTGTAAAGCTGATTCGTATGGATTTACATAAGGGAGGATGCTACATTTACCCCAAAATTTGTACTATACCATTGTCCATAGTCACACAAATTGTTGGTATATGAACAAAAATTTGCACTGACACAAAATATTGGTACATTAACAAAAATTAACATTACAATAACACAAATATTAGTGCATCTCCATGGTGTACAAAATAGGGTACAAATCTTTGAGGTACAAATAGTTTTATCCTTTATCATTTACATCACCAAACATGATACTCCCTCCGTTCTAATTCTTTCTTCCTAGTTTGACTTTGCACATTTTTAATTTTTGGCTTTGACTTCAAATTTTACCCTCTTTAAAAAAGATTTTTTGAATTTTTTTTTCAATCATTCAAAATATAGAGTTAGAAGATAATTGGTATAAATATATGAGGGTATTAATGTCATTTGTCATCTTTTTTTCTAATGGGAAGGTAGTTTTAGGACGGAGAAAAAGGAGAAGTGTGAAGAAAGTTTTAGGACAGAGGGAGTAATATACATTACCAAAAACCAAAAAATTGCTGCTGGGTACCCCTTATTTTGGGATAAAGACTGGCAGGTCCCATTGTTTTTCAAAATATACTCTGAGGTACCTTAAGATATTTGAAAACTGACTCCGGGGTGACAATCCGTCATTCCCTCCGTTAATAGTTCTTCTCCGTTATCCTCCTCCTCCTCCTCCCAAAAAATTGCTGCCAAGTACCCCTTATTTTGGGATAAAGACAGGCAGGTCCCATTTTTTAAAAAAACTTACTCATAGGGATTTAAAATATCCTTTGTTCAAAATATTACTTTATCGAATTAATATACAATATATGTTTTATTTAATAATAGGTCAAAAATTAAAAATAGTTGATTGAAAAAAGTCAAAACGTGACATATGCTCCGAGACAGAGATAATATTATGTACTCCCTCCGTCCTAATTCTTTCTTCCCAGTTTGATTTTTCCCCATTTTTAATTTTTGGCTTTGGCTTCAAATTTTACCCTCCTTAAAAAAGATTTTTTGAAATTTTTTTTGCAATCATTCAAAATATAGAGCTAGAAGATAATTGGTGTAAATACATGAGGGTATTAACTTTTTTTATTAGTTTTACTACTCTAAATTTTTTTTTCAAAATTAATTTTAGTAATATATTTACGTATCATTTATAAAATTAAAATTATTTATTCACTTGGTTATAAATTATACGTCGTAATTCATAATAATATTAAATTTAACACTATTTTTATTCTTTCATATTATCTTTACAAGACATATTAAATTTAACACCATTTTTATTGTTTCAGCTTATTCTTTTCTCAAGTCCTCTTGTTTTCTCAATTTACCAAGACACCATTACCAATGGCGACTATCAAATTGACTAATGCGGAGTACTATTTTTCCAAATAATAATGATTGTTACTCCGTATTTCTTAAAAATAGAGTAATAAAATTACTACTCTGCAATTAATTTCTAATAATAATTAAGGAAATAATAGGAAATACTCCCTCTGTCCTAAAACTATCTTCCACTTTCCCTTTTTCTCCGTCCTAAAACTACCTTCCCATTAGAAAAAAAAGATGGCGAATGACATTAATACCCTCATGTATTTACACCAATTATCTTTTAGCTCTATATTTTGAATGATTACAAAAAAAAATTTCAAAAAATCTTTTTTAAGGAGGGTAAAATTTGATGTCAAAGCCAAAAATTAAAAATGGGGAAAAGTCAAACTAGGAAGAAAGAATTAGGACGGAGGGAGTACATAATATTATCTCTGTCTCGGAGCATATGTCACGCTTTGACTTTTTTCAATCAACTGTTTTTAATTTTTGACCTATTATTAAATAAACATATATTGTATATTAATTCGATAAAGTAATATTTTGAACAAAGAATATTTTAAATCTCTATGAGTAAGTTTTTTTAAAAAAAATGGGACTTGCCAGTCTTTATCCCAAAATAAGGGGTATCTGGCAGCAATTTTTTGGGAGGAGGAGGAGGAGGAGGATAACGGAGAAGAAATATTAACGGAGGGAATGACGGATTGTCACCCCGGAGTCAGTTTTCGAATATCTTAAGATACCTCAGAGTATATTTTGAAAAACAATGGGACCTGCCAGTCTTTATCCCAAAATAAGGGGTACCGAGCATCAATTTTTTTACCAAAAACTATGATAATTTGTACATGTAGAGTATCACATTGCATTACCACAGTTTCAAGTCTTATTTCAGAAATAAAAATATGGAACTCCTATTTCCATAATTTTTTATATGTTTTATCATATTTATGGTTATGGTGATTTCTACTTTTTTGTAAGAGCACTGGTAATACCCGCAACGCCCCAAGGCGTGATGGGGCGTTTAACGCCCCGGCGGCGTTAAACACCGCCCCCCTCCGGGCGTGATCGGGCGTTGCGGGCACTGCGTCAAAGGAATGACGCTGCGTCATTCCACTCCCTCCCCTCCCCCAACGGCTTTATAGCCGTTACAAAATTAAAAAAAAATATTTTTTTTTCCTATAAATTCAAACCCTCCCCCTCTCAATCTCTCACACTTTCTCTTCTCAATCTCTTCTTCTTCCCATTTTAAAATTCGAAATTACTCTATTTTTATTCATCATGTTTTGTTGTGTAATACATTTTTAAAGGTAAGGAGCAAACGATCAATGCGATGTGGGATCGTATCGAGGAGAAGTTCTTCACGGCGATGAAGAAGGACGGCTCCTACCGAACCCGTGACCAACTCACTTCCAAATGGGACACATCAACAAAAAAGTCCGAAAGTTTATGGGAGTATACGAGGAATGCTCCTGGTCCCGGAGGAGCGGCACGAACGACGCTGATGTTCTCCGGCTTGCCACGACCCGGTATCAAGACGACGGGAACCAAGGCAAGGTGCCCATCGATCTTTGGAGGATTTTGAGTCGTTCCCCGAAGTGGCAACAACTCAACAATCCCGACGGCGGATCGTTCCGGAAAAGATCCACCGTCGACGCCGAGGTTGAGGTCGACGAGACCATTGGTTCTACCGATCAAATCCCTTCCTTCAACGTTGCGGCTTTCGATGATGAGGACCCCATTCCACGGCTGATCGGAAGAAAGAAGGCAAAATCCATTGCCTCTGGTTCGGGAGGGTCCGCCTCTGTTTCCGCTTCTCCCCGTGACGAAATCGGCCTGACAATGGTTGAACAACTTCGGGCGTTCAATCTCCAAGAACAGGAGAGGTTGAAGCTTAAAGTGAAGGAGTTGAAACTAAAGGAGCAGGAGGCCGAGATGAAAGTCATGCAAACCGACCCCGGGACGTTGTCGGAGTTTGGACGAATTATCTACGAGCAAAGAATGAGAGAGATCAAGGAGAAATATAATTTACCTTAGTTTTTTTTAATTACATAGAAAAAAAAATTTAATAACAGCGAAAAAAATAAATTAATTACACAAAAAAATAATAAGCACAAAGTTAAATTAATTTATTATTTAATTCATGTAAAATAATTAAATTAAAATCTTCTACATATAAATTTTTACATTTTTTACTTCCAAACTTCGGGTCAAAACTTCGGGGCCCCGAAGTTTGCCATTTCTAGTGAATTTTGGGTGTAAGTTAAAGCTGACGTGACAGAGAGAGAAAGTTTGAAGCCCTCTTTTAAGTCCCCTGGGCTTCAAACTTATTACGAGTGCTCTAAGCACTTTAAAAATGGTTTGTTCAGTCGTCTGCTCTCGTTTCTCTCTCTAGATGGCTAGGAGGCGAGGACGACCGAGGAAATCAAACGAAGGAAGAGCAATGAATTCACCACAATCGGAAGCTAGAGACTGTGTGGCAGAAGGCAGCCCTGCAAATCTAAGTTTGGGAATGCAGAAATTGACTCCAAAAACACCATATGAGGTAAAAAATTCGAGCCCAGATCTACATGAAATTGGGGAAGCTAGTGTACGAACAGGGAACCCTGGTAAAGGGGAGTTGAAAAGCAACCTGGATCAGGTACAAAAACCAATCTCGTATGCTGAGGTAGTTTAGGGGCCTAATGTTGATTTAGATTTGTCATATTTACCTGCTGAAGAAATAAATGGACAGTTTGTTGCAAAATTTAATAAGGATGATTTAGTTGAGGATTTGCGATGCTGGGATCAGTCTATTATAGTATGTGTTCTGGGAGCTAATCCTCCATTGGCAATCATAGAAAGTTATGCCAGGCGGATATGGAAAATGTATACTATAGATGATGTAGCTTTTCTAAAGGAAGGGCAGTTTATTGTGAGGTTCAGTAGCACAGAAGAAAGAGATGAAGTGCTAAAAAGAAAATATTACTCCGTATTATTTCAAAAAATTGCTGCTAGGTACCCCCAATTATGTGAACTCGCAGTTCCCATTATTTTTCAAAATATACTTTGGGGTACCTTAAAATATTCAAAAAGTGACTCCCAGGTGACATTCTGTCAATGTGTCCGTCAATGTTTCCTTTTCCGGTATCATGTTCTCCTTCTTCATTTCTTCTTGTTCTCCTTCCTGTTTCGATCTTCTTCTTTTTTTTTCTTTTTTTCTTCTTTGTTCTTCTTCTTCTACGCCTTCCCATCCAATCAGTCTCCCATCCCTCCCCTTTTTTCTTCTTCTTTTTCTTCTATTACCTATATTATTATTATTATTATTATTATTTATTTTATTATTTGTTATTGTTATAATCTTTATTTATCATTATTATTTTATTTAATTAGTAGTATGACTAATCTAACTTTTTTAGTAGTTTTACTACTCTAAAGCATTAATTGAAAATTAATTTTAGTAATATATTTATGTATAATTTATAAAATTAAAATTATTTATTCACGTGGTTATAAATTATACGTCGTAATTCATAATAATATAAAATTTAGAACTATTTTTTATTGTTTCATACGTAGTATTATCTTTAAAAAAACCCAGAGACACTTATTCATATTATTCTTTTCTCAAGTCCTCTCGTTTTCTCGATTTTCCATGACACCACTACCCATGGAAACTACTGATGACTAATGTGTGGCTAATGCGAAAGACAACATCGGGTGGAAAAAAAATCGAGTAGTAAAACTACTAATAATTTGTTTAACAATAATATAATAATAAGTGTTATTTTAAATAATAAACTCTATTTTTCTAAATAATAATGATTGTGGTTTTTGAAAAATAAAGTAATAAAACTACTAATTAATTTTTAATAATAATTAACAAAATAATAGGAAATAAATAATATTATCTCTGTCCCAAAGTATCTATTAGGTTTTGACTTTTTTAGTTAATCATTTTTAATCTTTGACCTATAATTAAATAAAATATATATTGTATATTAATTCGATAAAATAATATTTTGAAAATATTTTATATAATAAATTTATTAAAACTATTTTTCTATCAATATCTATCTAATATCATTTTTATTTAGTTTAGGGTTAAAATTTATCAATTTTGAATGAAAAGTACTCCCTCCGTTCCAAAAAGATCTACAACATGTTTCAAAAAAAATTGCGTCCCACAATCTCCTTCTCATTTCTATTAAAAAACTAATTTTACCACTTATTTTTTCAAATCCTACCTACCACATCATATTTTTATCCTAATAATATACACATCACATCTTACTTTTACACATCACATCAAGGGTATTTTTGGAAAGTCAACACAAAATTATCCCTCCCTTAAATTTAACTTTAGTCAAAACGTGCAAATCTTTTTGGGACGGATGGAGTAATTAATATGAAATAATAATAATAACTACTAATATTTTTATAAAAATTACAGAAGTAAAATTACTTATTAATTGCATTAAATAAATAATAGCACTAATAATAAGTGTTTTGTATAATACGTTTTATTTTTCTAAATAACAATTACTGATTTTTGTAGAAAAGAGTAGTAAAAGTAATAATTAATTTTAAATAATAATAGTAATAATAATAAATAAAAAATTAATAATAATAGAATAAGAAAATCATAATTGATACGAAGTAATTATAATAATTAATAACAAATAATAATAATTATAATGGAAGAAGAAGAAAAAAGAATCCAAAACAAAAAGTAAAAGAAGAAAAAAGAGGAGGTGGGGTGGAGGATCACTTCGGAAGGCAAAGGAGGAGGAGGAAAAGAGGAAGAGGAAGAAGAAGAAAGAAAAAGAAAAAGAAGGAGAAGACGAAGGAGAAGGAGAAGGAGAAGGAGAAGAAGATAGAAAAAGAAGAAAGATAACGGAGAAGGGCATTAACGGGGAAATTAACGGATTGTCACCCCATAGTCATTTTTCCAATATTTTAAGGTACCTCAGAGTATATTTTGAAAAATAATGGGACCTGCGAATTCTTATCACAAAACTAGGGGTACCCAGTAGCAATTTTTTGGTATTATTTTGACAACAAACCAGTGCTTACCAAAGCCTGGTGCCAAAGCAACAAGATATAACTGAACTAAAGGATGTACCTATCTGGGTTCAATTCCAGTTATTTGTAATTTTTTCCAGTTTCTTTCCATTTCTTTCATTTTTTCGAGTTACTTCTTGTTTCTTCTAGGTTCTTCCAACTATTCTCATTTTCTTCGAACTCCTTCTACTCATCAAATAATTACTCTAAAAACGATATATTTTAATTATTATTATTATTATTATTACAACTATTATGTTCATAACTATAATTTATAAGTTTTTTCATTTTTTGATCTCATTGTTTTAGTATTCACACTGATTATTATTTTTTCTTCAACTTGTTAATATGAGTAATAGAATTTTTTGTATATTAATCTACATGATCAAGTTTTTATAAAAAAATTTGAAAGTCAAAATAGTTTAGAGAAAAAGATAAAGTAGGAGCACGAAAAACATAAAAAAAAAGGAACAAAAATAAGAGTTTTATGTCTTTATTTCAAAAATAAGAGTTACAATGAAAATAAAATAACAATCATGAAAGTAAAAATAGGTTTGATTACATCATGTGACATGTATGATATTTAAATTAAAAAAAAATCTTATAATATATAAAGTATAATTACGAATGTATTTTTTATAATAAATACTGCATAAATAAATTCAGGTGCAACGTGACCACAATAACTTTTTAAAATTTAACATTTTGCTATTTATGCTAACTTTATATTCTAATTAACTTTTTTCTGCGAACGTAGTTTTTTGTGTATGAAAAATATCAATATAACGTGATAGCAATAATAATGAATTATAGCAATCAAGAATTAGAATTAGAATAATATCACTAAAATAAATTTTTTAAAGTTTTTTTTAGATTTTCTAATTTTTCTAGTTTTTTCAGTTTCAACTAATTTTTTCCAGCACTTTCCAGTTTATTCCAGTTTTTTCTAATTTTTTCTATTTCTTCTCGTACTTTCGAGTCTCTTCCAACATCTAGCTCTTTTTTCGGACCCTAAAGAAGAGGCTCTAAGAGCATGTTCTTTAATCTTTAGGGCTCAAACTTTTAACTTTCAATTTTGGGAAAAAGACTAAAGTAGAAGTAAAATATCGAAAATATACCAAAATAAGAGTTTCATGTTTTTTACTCCCAAAATAGGAGTTAAAATGCATTTACATTAGAGATCATGACCATGTATATTACGAGAAAGTATAGTAATATGCACATGTATGGTTTCACATTACCAGACTACGAAGTCCTATTTAGAAAATAAAAATGTGGAACTCCTATTTTGGTAGTTTTCCTATGTTTTAATCCTATTTAGGGTGATTTCTTTTCAATTTTTTCTAATTTCTTCCCGTTTCCTCCAGTTCCTTCTAGTTTTTTTAACTATTCTCATTTTTTCAAATTCTTTCTCTGATTAATCGATTAAATGATTGTTCTACTAAAGCATTTGAACTCAGCAGCAGATAATTGATTATTTCATCAAGCATAATCGATTATCGATCCATTAATCGATTATCTCATCTTGAATAATTGATAAACTCCTTATTCCGCTGAAGCATTTGAAGGCAGTAGCAATTAACCGATTTTCTTATCTTCAATTAATCGATTATTATGTGCTTGAACTAGAGAAACTTTTTAGAAAACTTATTTTTGAAATATTAAATCATAGTCTTGTTATCAAACAAATATGATCAATATGGAAATGGTTTCTGTAAATAAATATGGTGTTTTGACAAATCCAAAAACCTTATATGATGCATGACAGTAAGTTAGAGTGTTAACGCTCGACGGTTCAAGAGCCCGATTAAAAATATTGCTTTAGACTAGGAATAACTAAGAACTTGTTATAGAAATGATTTGGCTTAGATTAAGAATAATTTAAGAGCAATATTGAGATATTGGATATTGAGTATTCTATATATCATGAAATGACTTGAATTAAAATATTGTGAATATCATGATTGATGAATACTTGAATTGTATATTGTGTGCATGATATCTGATGGACAATAAATCCACCAAATGATCCGGTTCACAGAGCGGATCGTAAGAACAAAATTAAGAACGAGAATTCAAGAATTGGGTGTGTATTACTAGCTTGATTTAGCTTGAGTTCTCCCCTCTCGGGTCTCCTCTATTTATACATGAGCTATATGCAATTAAGGTAATGCATAATCGATGGAGTCTATCCCGCCAAGGGCGCGATCCCCTTTTCTCGGCTCCGTAACGGCCAATCTGCTCCGTCTCCTTCTCCGGATTGACTCTGCCAGCTGCGCTCGGCCTGAGGTTAACTAGGCCCAGCTCCACGGGCCGGCCCAAGCTTGAGTATTTCACAGGTGCTTGACCCGAAGTTGTGTAAACGGTTCATTTGGGCCGTCCACTGGATATCGGCCCATCATAAGCCCCCCAACTCCTCAGTCCTCAGCTGGGCCAAGTGGAGGAATGGGGAGTTTGCAAAGTCCACGTGGACGCTCCAGCGGGGATCCGGGCCGTTCCTTGGGTTCCGCACGACATTTGGGCACGATCTCCACAAATATGTAATCATGGCCTGCCGATTCGCCTTCCTATTGTCAGTTAAAAACCGTCGCTAGACGCCATCTCTTTCTTTCGCCTTCTTTATTACCGTTCGTCTGCAATTCCGCCGCTCACCCGACCCATTTTTCTTCCTGTCCAGGTCAGTTCCTTCTCTCGCCGCCATGATTGTTTCAGATTCCGATTCGGCTACCCCATCGTCCAATTTTCGCCAAGCCGATCAATCGGCCTCTGGCCGTAACCCCGGCCACACTCCATCACCCCGACCGTCGTCGTCGGGCGTGCCTGGCCACAAACGGCGTCGATTGAGGAAGCAATACCCTTCCTCAACTCCGGTAGATGAGGGCTCAAGGGTTGAATTGGACGAAAACATTATGGCGTTGTGCCATTGTCAAATTACTGACCGGGGGTTCGCCGATGCCACTGACATGGTTGGACCCTCCATCAAGGTCATGAGACCTACCAGTACTCAAACTGCTCTAGACGCACCGTCGGGGTTCTTCACGGTCCATCTGGCGTCTTTGAAGAAGGGGCTGCGCTTCCCACTCCACCCGTTGTTGGTCGAATTCCTCAACGTGGTGGACCTTCTTCCGTGCCAACTGGTCCCCAACTCTCACCGGTACATCGCCGGTTATCTGGTCCGGTGCAAAGATGTAGGGGTGAAGCCGACCTTGGACCATTTCATATTCACCTTCAAGCTAACCAAGGGCCATAAAGATTGGGCGTCCTATGCAAGTCTTTCCCAGAGGTCCACTAAACTCTTTGCTAGTGATAAGAAGGGGTCAACCAAAGACTGGAAGGCTTTCTTTGTCTTCGTTTCGACGGGGCCCGAATCTCCTTTCACGGGTTCAGGGCGACCTTCCTTCCGCCGCATCCCATGCCCCCACCTGATGCCACCCTTTTGTCCATCACTCGCCAACTCTGCAACAAGGGAGTTATGAACGTCAAAGAGGTGGTGACAGAGGAAACCCTTGCCGGGTTGGGGTTTGAGTTTGTTCAGGATGAGCTTCGCCACCAAGCCGACCTACTGAGGGACATCCCCGGGGGGCATCAGCCTGACCAGCTGAAGGACATTCCTGAGGAAGGTCTTGACTGTGGTCCTTTTGGTAATTGACCTTTTCTTTTGCCCAGATGTTTAGTTTATCTTTTTCCAAGGCTGACCATTTCCTTTGTTTCCAGTGGAATTACAAGATTCAGGAGAAGAGATGGACAGCGATCTCCTGCTCAGTCGCTTCACTGCAGGGAGGAAGAGGAAGAGAGAGACGAAGGGCCAGGGCAAGCGTTCTTCATCCCACCACGAGGAGAGTCCTTCTCAAGAGCCGGCCGTAATTGTGGTGGAGGACCAAGAAGATGCTACCCAGGAACCGGGTACCATAGCTGGCAAATCCCCTCCACACCCCGTGATGCAGGGTGGCGACCTCGTTGGGTCGTCTCAGGGCATTGCCTTGGAGCGACCTCCCTCACCACCCGCAGTGACCTACGAGGTGGCGACCGGGGGTCGCTCGACGAGGCTCTGCATCCCTCCCCCGCCCCAAAGCCTAGGGGACGTACAACTGGAGACTCTGATCACTCTGCCTGCAGAAGACCAGGCTTGTATCTCAGCAGGCTCCGAGGATGACCTTGACAACATGGTCCTTTTGAGGCTCAGTCAGGTACTGGTCTTGATCTCCTATGCATCACTCCTTTTCTTTATGCCCCTAACCCTCACCCCTTTGCGCAGGCTACGCTGGGGATGATTGAGGTGGTCGGCCGAAAACGGGGTCGCTAGGCCGCCGCGGACGAGGCGATGAAAGCAGCCGAGGCCAAGCAGAAGGAGCTGCAGGAAGAGGTCGCTCGACTCACAAGGGAGTTGGAGGAGAAAGAAAATCGCTGCGCGGCGCTTGCTGTGGAGAAAGCTTCCCAGGAGAACCGCTGCGTCGCTCTTGAGGCAGACAAGGCCTCCTTGTCCTTGGAGGTAGAATGTGTTTCTGCTCGCGTGGTCGAGCTGGAGGGGGAGAAATCTGATCTGTCCAGCAGTTGGAAGTGGAGAGGAGCGACCGGGTCCGCCATGCAGAGGAAGCGGTAGAATCCTTCAAGTCCTCTCCTGACCTCACGGTTGTCGCGATGGAGCGGATGGAAGAGCTAACGGCCGCTTGGCTCAAAACTGAACCTGGGGCTCAATGGATGGTCAAGGAGGGGACCAAGTCCTTCAATTGTGGACTCTTCCGCGCCCAACAGGTCTTCCACGACAGACTGGCCCAGCTCCCCAAAGGATTCTCTCTCCCCGACATCGGCTTTCCCCCTCCTTGTCGTTCCTTGGCCGAGTTCGACCCCCGCCCTTACTTGGACGGAGGGAGCTCAAGCGCGTCTGAAGAGGAGGAAGAAGAAGAAGTGGAAGGCGGTCAGAGCGACTAGAATCCGGAGACCAGCTTCGCCACGTCCAAGGCGGGTGGAAATCCCAGTGCGAGCGCCTAACTTCCCCTGTTGTTCCCCCAGAGTTTTGTAAACACTTGTTGTTTTTTTTTCTTTTTCTTTTCTTTGAAGTGATTTATCGCTTTGATACAATGTTCCCATGTTACTTGACTCGTTGGATCCACCATGTGCCTCCTTTCTTCAGCGTTTTACTCTCTTCTCTAGTTTAGCTGATTCGCATGTATGTTTTAGTTTGGGCCCAACTCTTAATTCCAGCCCGCTTATTTGCCCAGGCCCAATCTCTAGATTGGCCAACGTGCCGCCCAACTGTCCCAATGCCCTTTGCAGTTTCTGATTAGACCTTTGCGCGGCTCAAAGCTACTTTATCGGTTCAGCTGCCTTGGGACTTGACCGTCTCTTCGGTTTCTTCACCTGGCTTATTTATAAGCCCCCCTGGCCTCTACTTTGCTCCAACACCAAATATTTTCCTTTCCTCCATCCTTGCCATGTCTGAAGGAATTCCTGTTTCTCTGAATCTTTCCGACGGGCCGGTTCCTTCTTTGCCGGAGCCTGTCTCCTCCCCCAAGTCAGTCAATTCCAATGACTGGGGGGGGGGCTTGACCCTTACGAATTCTGTCGCCGGTTGCCTCGCTGGCAGTGGTCGTCGGTGAAACCGCCGCCACTACCTCCAAACCCTTATGAAGACTTTAGTGAGGCGTACAAGGCCCTCTCCGCCAACCGCCTGCCTGACGGGCGGATTGACTGGGATGCTCCATGCCCCCTCCATTCCCTGCAATGTATGGCCTGGGAGAGCTTTCAAGATGAGCACTTACCCCTCCTGGAGCATGAGTGCGCATACTACGCAAGTCTTGAGCGATGGACTAGCGAAAGTCGCACCAGTTCGCCGGTGAGGCCTAAGGAGGAGGTTGTGTTGGGGGAAGAACTGGGTTCTTCCCTACCTCACCCCACTTGCCACTCCCCTTCCCAGAAGACCCCTAGGCGACCTGGAGTAGCTCGAGCGGCTTCAGGATCTCCATCCTCGTCTAGGTGATGCTGGTTGGGGTTCACTGAAAAGTGAGCCATCCCCCGTCCTCTCGTGGTAGAAGAAGGGCGGTGGGTTTTTGCCGAGGCTGGGGGCGACCACTCCCGTTCCATGTTGGGGAAGAAAGGTGGTCGTCCTGGACGGCCGGTGATCGGAGTTTTGCCTGCCTATACAGCTGCAGAACTACCCTTCAAACCTGCCTGTCCCCCCTAGACCTTCGCTCGCAAAGTCTTAGATTGTTGTTTTTCATTGTAAGAGATGTATGGGAAAGTATCCCTCCTTACGTAGAGATTGTTCTCAACTGTATTGTAGCAGATGCAAGAGATTATCCTTGAAATGTAATGAACATTTTTGTGAATGTATTTTGATGTTACCTGTTTACTTACAAGTTTCACCTTCTTCTCTTTCGCATCCCACTTTAGACGTTCAGGTTTCCTCGGACTTGAATCAGAGAATACCTCGCCTCTTTTGACTTAGCCATTTCCGGGTTACTTTGACCCTTGTGGCGTCGCCATACCCCCAAGATCCCCTGGTCGCTCATGCGATCAACAGATCTTGTGTTCC